GGGCACCAGCATGGCGTCTCCATACAAATCTCTATAAATTTGGGTAAAAAATTTCTCCGCATATTTCGCATAAGAAAAATTGCTGTGACCAGAATTTTGGTTAGGGTCTTTGCATATTTACCTTCTTTCATTTCCCAGATTCTGGACTTTATCTATGGAACGGTTTTGATTTTCATTTTGACCTATTTTGAATTGCGTGACACTGAAAACCAACAATAACTCGTTTGAAACATATTGTAATATTTTGCGTTTCTGTTCGATCTCGTTTCGGGCTCAAACGAAACCTCGATTTATTTTCTTTTTCGCTCAGTCATACCATGAAGATCTGAGTTGAAGATAAAAACCATTGAAAGATTCTCACGTAGCTGTTGTGCGACACGCAAAGCAATCAAATTTTCAGAAAATTTAGCATAACGGAAGTAGATTTTGAGCTCAATCGGGGCGAAATCGTTTTTCGCAAATTTCTTCCAAAAAATGCTGCAATACCAGAAACTAACTATGGTCCGTTTGTTTTCTAGCTATGGCCAATTTATGGGCAAAAAATGAACAAAATCGGATTTTTCGACTTGTGCCGTTGTTTGGTCCATATTTATGGGCAGTGGCTCTTAACAATAAACGTTTCCTATTATAATACCTTTGAAATGCTTCCTCGTTGCTAACTCGTTTCTTTATAGATAACATGCAAGTATTACGCTGTGGCATCTCGCTTTATAGTAAGCAGCTGCTATTTATTGTGAGATTTCCTTTTCTGTGAAGGGCGTTTTCCATAACACGAAAGAACAAGACATCGGAAGAAAAGGTGGATGCACCCAATTGCATTTCCTCACATAAAGAACATTAATCTGAGAAAACATCCCAAAATACATACATGTTGGCCATTTGAGGTACAGTATCGGCTTGTTGTTGACATTTTCATTTTCAAAGTCAACAGCAAGCACTTCAGTCCTTTACTTTACATGTTCTTTCTGTAGCTCTGTGGATGCAAAGATGCACGTATCTAGTTTGGAATTCTATCAAATGTAGGGGAATAAAGTGTTATCATCGATTTCAACGTCGNACTGAGAAGAAGTGGTAATAAAGACACATCAAAATCTGCGTCTTACAAAGTGCTGGAAACTGTTTTGAGCAACTTTAAGTCATTTCTTAAAAAGTTCTTACTTCGCAAGAGGTTTTTAAAAGCTTTCTATTGTGTCTTAAAATATAATATTACTTGAATTTTTTTCCTTTACAGTCTGTAAAACACACTGAGTCCTTGTTAAGTGCTTTAACGAGAAACTTTACTGTTACAGTGTTGTGTGTATTAATATCTAAACATAACACTGATGTTTTAATTATTCCCTAGCTGTGGTGTTTTTTACTTTAGCAGCTGCATTAACAACCAGAATGTGTCGACCGTCGTTTCCTGCGATTTTGGTTTCGAATACTGAAGCGCTAAGTAGTCACTTTTTGTCCTTTACTATTTGCAATCAATATCATTCATGAAAGGTATATAGGTAGTTAGGCACACTCTCACTTGATTTCAGGTGGTGTCGTGAGCTGTTAGATCATACTGGGTTGTTGTAANAAAACCTACAGCCCAAGGAGATGTAGACAGTGGATGGAGAGAAGGGAGTAAGCCTTCACTCAGGGCCACTCTAAACATTCCTGGGTAGAGAGGAGGCAGTGTGCCTCCATTAACCTAACTCCAAGGGGTAAAATTGGAGGGAGCTGTCGTCCGAAAATCGAGTCTATGTGGTCAAGAGTGGGACGACAGGAGCACTTCATTCCCACAAAATGCAAAGCATTCCCCGATGGACGAGCCACTGGAAAAATCTAGTTAGTCCAAGAATAATAATATCCAGTATAATAACCCTTATTTCATTTTAAAACAATTTATGATGCCTTTAATTTCGCGGGGATTGACGAAGTTTACACTATGTCACAAATATATTTGCGAGATGGGTCCGCAAGGAGGGGGGCAGGGGGGATTGAGCTAAAGAGTACATTTTATCAGAGCTGCTGGTGACGTATAAATGAATAAACCTGCCAAAACAAAAGGCATTCGTGTCTCTTGGAATAACAGGCTGGCCAACTTATAACAGGCTAACTGGCTGTTGGGGGACCTGTGCCAGAACAGAGGGTGGGGTTTTTATGTACCATTCAAAACAGTCGGAGGACCAACGACCCAGAACCTTAATAAGCCATGGGGGTGAATTGACTGAAGCAGCTGTCGTAGCTGCACCTATCCGGAAACTGTTCCCAGCAAATTCACTTGAGTTCAGCCCCCCCCCCCCCCCCCCCCCCTCTNCCAGACCCCCCTTACTGATTAGGAGCCTTGTTTCCCTTGTTAGCTTTTCCCGGGTTAGGAATGCACCAGATACATAGATGAAAAGAGGTCCAGAGGTTTAAGGTTCTCTCGTGCTCTCATTAACTCTATTAACAGACATCCGTGACTGGATAGCAAGACGCACGCTAAGTATGAACCAATTCTTTGTTAAAATTAAAAATGAAAACTGATCAA